TGGAACTGGAGGGTATTATGCTGAGTGAATAAGTCAATTGAAGAAGGACAAACATTATATGTTCTCATTCATTTGGGAAATATAAACAATAGTGAAAGGGAATAGAAGGGAAGGGAGAAGAAATGGGTAGGAAATAGCAGAAAGGGAGACAGAACATGAAGACTCCTAACTCTGGGAAACGAACTAGGGGTGGTGGAAGGGGAGGAGGGCGGGGGTTGTGGGTGAATGGGTGACGGGCACTGAGGGGGGCACTTGACGGGATGAGCACTGGGTGTTATTCAGTATGTTGGCAAATTGAACACCAATAAAAAATAAATTTATTATTTAAAAAAATAAAATAAATAAAATAAAATATATACTAATGCCCGTCCTGTGCAAAATGTATGTTAGGTCCTGGAGGCTGAGAGGGTTTGGGGTTTGCAAACTCAATCCTGAAATTTTAAGAACCAAGAAAATAGAAAAGTGAAGTAGATTTGTGTAGTCAGAGGACAGCCTGGGTATGTCCCTATTTGTCTAGCTGCTCTGGCACAAACATCATTAGAGGGATCTCTAGGATTCAGGGGTAGAGAAAGAAGAGAGGGACAGGCATTGGAGCCAGCATTAAAGTCCCTATCTTAAAAAAAATAAAATAAATAAAGTCACTATCTTTGCTATTCCTTACCCTTCATCCATCCCATCATCCATCCCATCCTACTCCAGGGCACCTCTGAGACTTTTCTCTTCCATTCCACCCCACTCATTTCTGTAGCCCATTCCCTTGTTTTCTGAAGGTCCTACAAAATTAGTAAAAGGGAAGTGAAATATTCCTGCATTTTCCCACTCAGGTCTGCATGGGGCCTAGCAAAGAATAAAAGATTTTCATAATGTTCTTACTGACTCATGCTTGCGGGTGAATTGGGATGGCCAAAGATCAGTTTCATAAGTGAAAAATGATCAATTCATCCCAAAATGAAAAATTACTTGGGATCTTACCGGAAAACCAAATCAGTATGCCAACAATGGTATCAAGAAGCAGTTACTTAGGCATTTGGGGCAGGACTGGGAGATGATCAGCCCAAGACACAAATTGAAAGAGTAAAACCCTCCAGTTGCATGCAGTTCTATCCCTTCCCTGCAGTCAGTGGTGGTCGTAGGATATATGAGCACAGAAAGCTGGATCCTAAAGAAGTCACTTGTGTTCAATAGACAAGGGACCTGATCAGGGATATACATTAGGTGATTGAATATAAGAAGGCAGTTTATTCAGTTTGGGAAAACTAGACAGACTGCTCTAAAGTATGGACCAAGGAAGGTGGGGTATGCCTTAGAGTCTAGGGGCACAGGCTAAGGTCTAGAGGTACTCAGAGATGTCAGAGTACTATTGAAGTTAGAGGTATCTGGTTGAGAGTAGGGGCACTAGAGCACTGTGGAGAGTAATAGGATTGAGAAGGGATACTATGAATTCTGGAGCTACTTAGGAGTACAGTCCAAGTTAAGAATGCTGAAAAGAATGGGGGAAGCTGCAGCCCTTTGGAAATGTCTGGTACCTCAACAACCTTTTCCATCATCCTCACTCCTCACTTTTTTTTTTTTTAGAAGACTCATTCACTCTTAGATCTGTAAAAAATGTCTCATCATGGCAACCTTCTCAGATATGCCAGCAAATATATCCTTTAGCTCATTTACACCTCAACACTACTAGATGAATGTTTCTATGACTGTATCACTAGGACTTACTTAGAACTCCAAACCTCAACATTTAGAACACTTTTGTGCCAGTTTTGGCTTGAGTATACCAACTACTCAACAAAACAATTCCCACTATCAAATTCAGTCTCTGTATTTGGTAAAAGAGGAAGCTTTGGGTTCAGAAGGTTCAGGATGGAGGTGCCTGGAGAAAGTAACCAGGTGAGGAAGCATCTGGGAAGGAAATAAGGCAAGAGAACTTGGAATCTCTGAGGTGGTTCTCAAGGAGAAGGAGGTAAGTGTAGAAAGAAGTTCAAAGAGGTGATAAAGGATGTCCACAAATCCAGAGGGAGACCGCTAAGCAGCGTCACACAATGTTTTCCAACAGATCTAATAGAGTTGATTAGTACTAGTCTAGCTTTAGGAAATTAAGTGCATGAACTAAGCCAAAAAGCCTGCAATGATCCTTCATCTGCTAAACCATTTTACTGAGAGCTGGCCTCAAATTTCTATCAGTTTTCTCTACTTACTTTTAGAAATATTTGTTGAACTGTAGTAAATTTTTGCTGGTGACACCGAGGTTTGCCTTGTGCTCTATATGATTGAGATGCTGCACCATCTACTCCTGGAAGAAAGATACTGAGTAAATGATCCCTCTGTCCCACTGGGCCTGTGTGCCTGAGCTGATTTGTTGGTTGCTCTCCCATAAGATGGGGGAAGAAGCAAAAGAAGGATACTCTATAGGAACCACCCCACACCACCACCTGTTCCTGCGTTGGGGCCTGTGTAAGAATAGGGAAGAAGTTGTCTTGTAAATGGCCACCATCCTGTTGTCTAGACATCAAGGAAGAGATGTCTCAGGGAAGTTGCAAAAGCTGCTGAAGGCTACACTCAGATTTCCTACAAGAGGTGGGTTCTTGTATTTGCATAAATAGTAAGATCCTCTAGCAGAACTCCTTCTAATATAGTTTGCTAGAGAATTAAGTTAATCCATCCTTGACCCCTTCTCAAAGGATAGCTGTTTAACAATAGGAAAACCAACATGGCTAGTGTAGAACTGCAATGCTGGTTTCTGGGTAAAATCCATTTAATCTCATATTACTACCAGTTCACACCCTTTTTCCCACATATAAATACCTTATGACTAACAGCTCATATTTGCAGGACATTGTCCAGAGTCAGGGGGAAGCTTGTGGCCTTAGAATGGAGATATCAACTGAGTTATCTAGAGTGAACCTCATGTTCTTGACCTAATTAGTCCAGTATGATAAGCAGATGAACTAAGTACCCATGGCACCCAGAATAACAAGAAAATTCAAATAGAATCCAGTACTTCTAGACATTGTTATGTCACCTGAAGAGTTCTATCCCAATGATGGAATTTTTTTTTTTTTTGTACTGGAACTGACTAGGAAATCATGTGCTTTTTGCAGTGTGGCTTGAATAAATGTATCTGAAATATATATATATTTTTTAATGCTATAGAATTTTAGTGGTACCCGGGTGGCTCAGTCTATTAAGCATCTGTCTTTGGCTTAAGTCATGATTCCAGGGTCCTGAGATCAAGACCACATTGGGCTCCCTGCTCAGCGGGGAGATTGCTTCTCCCTCTCCCTCTGCCCTTCCCCCCTACTTGTGCTCTCTCACTCACTCAAATAAATAAATTCTTTTTAAAAATGCTATAGTAGGTGTCTAGATGGTTTGGTCGGTTGGGCATCTGCCTTTGGCTCGGGTCATGATCTTGGGGTCCTGGGATCAAGCCCCATATTGGATTCCTTGCTTGGTGGGTAGCCTGCTTCTCCTTCTCCCTCTGTAGCTCCCTCTGCTTGTGCTAGTTCTCTCTCTCTCAAATGAATAAATAAAATCTTAAAAAAAAAAACAAATAGATTTTAAAATGCTGTAATATTTTTTTAGTGCTGTAGTATTGCTATTATAGGTTGGAAATAGACTCTGAGACTCTGAGATTTGCATGCTGAAAGTTTATTTGGTGAATGCTCCTGGAACAAGAGCTGTGAGAGTAAGGGAAGCAGGATTGGGGAAAGGGGAAATTGAGGCAAGAGGTCCAGGTCTTTATCCCATCCCCATCAACCAGTCATCAACCAGCTACGAGCCCTCAGGAGACAATGCTCCTTTTTTTTTTCCTTCCTTCCTTCCTTCCTTCCTTCCTTCCTTCCTTCCTTCCTTCCTTCCTTTCTCTCTCTCTCTCTCTCTCTCTCTCTCTCTCTCTCTCTCTCTCTCTTAAACTTTAGCAGCCAACACTCCTAACAGCTGGGGAAACAGTGAGTTGACCTTGAAGTGGAATCTGAGTGGGGATATTCGACATTATCTGCTGCAATTGCCAACTAGTACTTTTACTTCCCAAGTTTTTATGGCCTCTGATGTGCTGGGCACCGTGTACCAAATAGAGCTACAGACATCTAATCACAACTAGATTTTAAGCCTTGTCCTAGAAGATTTTAGAATCCAGTAGGTTTCTTCAGTCCACTTGAATAGTTACAATGAAACGGAGAGGGTAAAGTTTTTTGTCCTAGGCTTTCTCTATCATATCACCTTGCAAAGTCTAAATCCAGAAGCAAATAGCATGTTGTCACACATTGTTTTAGAATGGGTCATCTCCTTATAATCTGAACTGCCAGCTAGCAGGTATTTATAAAGTTAACCCCTCTGTGCAGACACACATAGATCACTCTTCCACCGAATTTTCCCCAACCAAGATTCACTTCCAAACCAGTGTCATAATGGAGATTTCTAAGAAAACTGGTAACTGCTTTCTTTTCCTCTTTCCCTTTAAAAGACTTTACAGTGTTTGTCCCCCTTTGTTCTATCTCTAGGACACAAAGATTATAGCTGTATGGGGTAAAGGGGGTGGGTTCTGCCTTATGAAATTACAGACCTACCCTTGTTCCAAACCTTCCCAGTGTTATTCTCACAGCTAGGACCAAAGTGAGGCATGTCAACCCTGGGGCAGAGAGAAGACATTTGCCTTCATATTACTCAGCCCTCACCGCTGGACTTCCCTAGTCAGAATGCATCATGCCTCTCATGTTCTCACTCTTCAGGTTCAAAACTTCTTTACTGGTGAAGATTGGTTAGTGTTTACAGCTCCCTTTCTCTCTCTTCTCTTGAAGTGATTAGTCACTCAGGACCACATTCCTCCTTAAAAATCCAGGTGAACTGAGGCAGACCTGACAAAATGTTTAGTCTACCTCACAGGTTTCTCAGAGAGCTCCCTCAGAGGCAGAAACTTTGATCCATGCCTTGCCCAGGAAAGGAGGCCCCACAGCTCCTAGAACACTGTTAACAAATATGTACAAGAGCACAGACCTTAAAAGAAATTAGACTGTCGGCCAGAAAATAATTTTAATGCAAAGTAGCAAGGGCCACTCCATTTTATCATTTCCTTGCTCTTGCTCTACAGACTCTTCCTTCCTGTGACTGTGAGCAGGTGAGAGGAACAGGCTGTGTTTCTCGAGTGGCTGCCCATATGGGAAGGAGTCTCTCAGAGTCTCTCAGAGTCTCAGAGTCTGTAGCTTGCTCCTAGATCTGGGGTAATGCTAGTGTCCTTTAGATCTTGGAGTAAATGTGAAATAATAAAATAATTTATATGTGGCTCGTGCGTCTACTGATCCCATCGCCTTCCTCTTTATAGTCACAGGGCAGCTGCATCATCCTTGGATCCATGGGGACCCAACATTGCTTCTAAAGAACCTGCAAAATAAATACATCATGAAAAAGGGTGAACTTCTTAGCAGTAGTAGGCTAGAGAAGATGAGAGCAGAGCCTGGGTCTTTGACAGTATCACCTTTCTGGTTAAGGGATTAGAATCTGAAGATAAGAGGAGGAGAAAGTAGAAAGGAACTAGGAAAAAATGACCTTCTCTGTGGTGGGGCATCCTTTGCTGTTATTCATGTTGATATTCTTCATAGAGATCAGGGTGATGCTGTCTTTCTCTCCGTTGGCTGTGGAGCAGCTAGGGGAAGGATAGGAACATGGTTGAACAATGAAGAACAGGAGTCAATATAGTGGTTAAATAACTGTGGGGCAAAGTGTTGGAACCTCGAACTTTGTTTCTATTAAACCTGTAATTTGGCGATAGACCCTAATGAAATGGGAGTGTGCTTTGAAGCCCAAAAAACTTCTATTTAAATCTTAGTTTTACTATTTGCTACTTATGTGATCTTGCCCAAGTTACAACCTCTTCCAAATCTCAATTTTTTCAAATGTACAGAATGCAGTATATCTGCCTGGAAGGATTGCTGTAAGGATTTGAGATAATATTATAAAATACTTGCCATAGTAACTGGCATATATAAGATGCTCCTTAGCTAAGTGTTTTCTTATTTAATGGGGTATAATAGAGGGGATCCTGGGTAGTTCAGTTGATTAAGTGTCTGACTCTTGGTTTCAGCTCAGGTCACGATCTCAGGATTGTGGTATCAAGCCCTGCCTCAGGCTCTGCACTCAGAGGGGAGACTGCTTAGGTTTTCCTCTTTCTCTCTCCCTCCCTCAGCCCCTTTCTCTTTCTCTAAAATAAATCAATAAAATCTTTTTTAAAAAAGAGGGGCTTATTAGCATCTGAATTCCTACACTTTTCAAGAGGGGGTTATAGAGGCTTAGCCCTCAGGCTGAAGAGTTCCATTCATCTCCTGTCACTTGATTGTTTCCTGTTAGGGTCACCCCTGTCCCACCCATCCCTAACCCTGGCCTTGCTGGTGGCTGTCAAGATTCCATGCATGCTTATGCAAGCTTGTGTGTGCGCAGAAGGCAGGAAGTAGCAGTTCTTTCTTGGAGTAGGGGCTGAGAGGTCAGAGAGATGATTTCTCCCTTATGCCTCTGACAGTCTTACCTTTCAGATAACCCCGAACTCCCAGGTTTCTGGGGATCTGTAAAACATCCAAAGACACAGACTGGGGGGAAGGTCACATGCTATAACTCAGAAGACCAACCTGTTCCTCAAAGCCCACCCAAGTGGACTACCCTCCCATTTCATCAGTGGTGCTTATGAGCCATTCTTTTCCTGCACTCCAGGCTGGGTGTCAGTCCCAAAATCTAGCTCTTGGTCTCTTAGCAAAGAGGGACAATGTGGGACCCCAAGTGGAAGGGCATGTACCTTCAGACTCCTTGTTCTTCCGACACTTAAACCTTAGACTGACCACACTGACTAGGATGATCACCACAACCACTAGGATGACAATGAAGCTGATAACACCTGGACGGGGAGAATGGGGTAAGGGAGAGGCAAAGGAGGGGTCAGAGAGGGGCCAGAAGAGTCCAAATTCCCTTCCCAGCCAAGTGCCGTGTAGATAGACTCTGAGAGCAGAGTGAATTCCCCTTCTCTCCTGGATGAATGAATTCTCAGCCTGCTACCCCTGGTGAGAGCAAGCTCCACAGCCCTGTCCCACCCTCCTATAAGAGCATGGAACCCGGCAGAGCCCAAAGAGTTGACTGGAGGGCCAGTGGAAGCTCCTTCCTACCAGGGCCTTCTTCATCAACCAAGCCCTCCTACAACAAATAAATAGGTGAGATTTAAACTCGTGTTTCCGGAGCCAGAGTCTAAGTTAGTTCAGGGGTGGGGTCTCCTGCCACTCTCCCCATCTTCTCCTCTCTCTTACCAAATGCAGCCACAGTGAGCACCGTCTCTGACGTGGGGCTGGGCAAAATGGTTGAGTCTTCTCTTATCCTCAGGCTCATGGTGGTTGATATGGGAGTAATATTTTGAGAAGTGTCTGAAGTGGAGTGGGGATGGGTATGTCAATGAAGGGACTGGCATAGCCCACCAGAGACATGGCTAGCTCCCTCCCACTTCCCCGGGTAAAGAACTACAGAAGGAGGGCACCTGGGTGGCTCAGTGGTTAAGCATGAGCCTTTGACTCAGGTCGTGATCCCAGGGTCCTGGGATCGAGTCCCACATTGGGCTCCCCACAGGGAGTCTGCTTCTCCCTCTGCCTATGTCTCTGCCTCTCTCTCTGTGTCTCTCATGAGAAAACAAAATCTTAAAAAAAAAAAAAAAAAAAAAAAAAAGAACTGCAGAAGGAGCTAATGCCCTACAAAAAGGACTTCCTCCTTGCCACTCAGACCAGATCTCATTAGGACGGAGGTTGGAACTGGGTGATGTGGGATGAGGTGAATTGCATTGCTGGTTGCTCATGTTATTAGCTTCAGGGTACTCCAAAAAGTTCAAAATGCTTCTCCTATTATTCTCTTCTCACCATCCCCTTGGGGCTCTTTTATGCTCTAGAGATAGGGAGCCAGACTGGGCAAGGTAGAGCCATCTGTGTTTTGCCAAGGGTAGAAGTGGGAGGAAAAAAGCCCCTGGATGTTTATCCCTAGGCACTGATTTAATAAGCCAGGCTGCCAGTTAAGGGGCACCAGTTTCTAGCCCTCTTAAAAAGTAGTATGATTACCCATCTCTTCCCTTCTTCAACTCTTTTTTTTTTTTTTTAAGATTTTGTTTTTAAGTAATCTCAACACCCAACACAGGGCTTGAACTTGTAACCCTGAGATCAAAAGTCACAGCTCCACCGACTGAGTCAGCCAGGCACCCCCTCTTCCACTCATTGTACTGCAAGTTTGATTGCTATCCATTTCCTTATCTGTACCTGCACTGCCAAATAAGTCTTCGAGTCTAAAAAAAATCTCAGAGCCAAGGGGTAGGATAAGAGGAAGGGTCAGGGTGCTCTTCACTGAGAGTACAGGCAGGACATACCACTGCTCCTTGGGATAGCTTGACCTATGCCATGAAACAGCAGGGCTAGGATGGAAGTGGCCACTCCCTCCCAGCTCTCTCCCCACACTGGCACATGAAGGTCAGCCTGCCCCGAAAAGCATATAGTCCTGGCCAAACCCCTTCTGCCTCCCTTTCCATCATTTTGGGTTCTCCCTCTCCCTTCCCCCTCCGTGATTTTATCAGTCCCGAGTCTAGGCTGCTTTTACCTTCACTGTGACCAGGCCCAAGGCTGTGTCTCTACTTCCTACCAACCTTCTCTCATTCCCAAACCAGGCTGCCACTGATGTGGATCCTGGCCCTGAGACGCCTCACTGTAGGACAGAATCTGGGCCTCCTGATGAGGTGGAGAAGGACCCCAACCACAAATGACCTAGTGCTCTTGATCCTCAGCCCCACATATTCACTAGGTTGTTCTGTGTCCTTCTGTGGCTGGGGCTGAGTCATGCCCACCAGGGACTGGGGGTGACCATCCGTGGTGCTTGTGCTCAGTGTCCCGGGTTTAATGGTTACCGCGAGGACCTGTGAGGCCCTCTCTGGAGCTGCTGTGGATTAGGAAGCAAGGGTGGGCCTGCTCAGGGCTTCAGCCAGTATTTACACGGGGGCTCTCTTTAGTCCAAAATCTTCCTTTTCTGTACTGCTTTCAATTCCAGAAGGAGCCATCTTTTCTTTTCCCTTTGGGACCTTACCGATACAGTTACATCTGCCTAGAATATACGCGCTACCACCCTCCAACCCACAGTCTTCATCTGGTTAACTCTTGGGCCTCCACTTCCAAGGTCACTCACTCTAACATGTCTTCCCTGACTCCCAAGTCTGAAGTGGCCTGCGTCAGTCTCTGCTCCTCCGGCACCTTCTCTTCATGCTTATCACATCCCTTCCCACCCTGCTTTGTAGTTGGCAATGTGAGGTCCCATTTACTTGTGTGTTTCCCTACTAGTCTATATTCTTCTGTAGGGCAGAAACTGTGCCTGCTTCCCACTGGGCCCTCCTCAGAGGGCATCTGGATCTGAGCAGCAGAGTACCTGGGGTCCCAGCACTGGCCGGAGAGCTTGAGCTTCTGGGCTCTGAGGAAGAGTTATTTCCTGTAAGGACAGAGGCAGGAAGAGGTAGAGGGGGGGAAGCTTTGGTGACACCACACTCCCTCATCCAACTGAGAACCCTTGGGTTCCAAGCAGATCTGAAGGGCTAGGTGGGGGCAGGGACTGGCCATACTCACTCACCTGTATTGGAAGAAAGTGGTTCTGTGATCAGACTTGGTTTGCCAAAGGCTCCTGAAACAAATCATCTGAGGCTTTCTATCTGAGGGTCACTGCTTTCTATTACTCTGTCTCCTTCTCTTCTTCCCTTGTAACTAGAGTTTTCTAGTCTTTCCCCTGCCACCCCCACCCTCAGCCATTCATCTTACTCCTCTTTGAAGGCATGTGAGACAGGGTCAAGCTGAAATAGTCCTGAGAAGAGCTCAGCCTTCCATGTCCTGAGAGCTCAGGCCCCAGCCCTAATCACCTGAGATCTGGTCTCGCCCTTCCTAAGCTGCCAGGTCACCATACCAGAGTAGGCGCTATGTGTTTGCTCTTACCCTGAAACCGAGATGTCTGCATCGTCATGGGCTGGGAGTGGTGGCCTGCCAGAGAAAGCAGAACACTTTGACTAGCTTGGTGAGTCTCTTGTCCAGTGCAGAGTCCACAGAAGATCCTAGGCTCTCCAAACCTTCCATGTTGGAAGGCAGACACACTTGGCAGAGGGCTGAAGAATGTGGCTCTGGCTCACAGTGCTAGCTTCCTCTGAAACTAGCACTCAATAGTACCATCACCACCACCTCGTGGTTCAGTGTGCCAGAGTCCTCTCCTGACTCTTTAGTCCCATGTGTATTTTATATCAACCTGCCTTGAGGTCAGGGGAAGGTTATTTCAAACTAGTGATTTGTCCAAGGACAGAGGGCCAGTAACCTGCGACGTCTAGATAAGGACCTTGGACTCCAGGTTCTTGCTATCCTACCACTGAGCCCTTCATTTTTCCCTGTGAATATTGTCATCTTGGTTCTGCCCCAAGGGAAGAGGATGGAAAGATGTGGTGAATAAAATGAGGTTATGGATTGGGGTAGGTATCTGGGCTGTCTCTCTGCCCCCCCTCCAGCTGGAAGTACGGGTGCACACAGCAAGTAAGTTCTGAGGAGTGTAGGAGCTCCTCAGGGAAGCTCTAGAACAAGCAGCCAATCTTATTTTCATAGGCAGAGGCTGCTTCCGAAATGGCCGTGGTTGGCCAAACCCAGGGAGGAGCCAGTTACGGGGAGGCCCCTATCAGAAGCCCTCATTGGCTTTTTTGTACATCCACGTATGTGCATGTGGGTCTCTGTGCAGATGTGTATGTGTGCTTGTGTGCCTGTATGTGTGGCCCCTGTGTGTGTGGGACCTGAAAGGTCAGGTTGTGTTTGCTCATTTTCCACAATGAAATCATTCTTGAAACCTGTGAACAATGTGAAAGGAAAACAACGTGGGGAAGTGGAGCCGCCCAGCTGGGTTCCCGTCCCTCTGCCACTGCTGAGACTGTAGCCTCTGGCCTGGCGCTTGGGCTCCCAGGCTCCCATCAACACGGAGGTCCCAAGCCTGGGCAAGGGTGAGCAGAGGTGGTTGGGGCCAGGGCCCTCCCAGCCTGTGTTAGCCTGGCGGCCTGTTTATTTTCCTTAACTACTGCCTTCCTCCATGGGGCTATCACTTGGATGGGGTATAATTAACGGTTTCCAAACCCAAGCTCGCCTAAACCCTGGAAAAACCCTGTGTTTTTCCAAGTCACCCTGTCTCTGGTAGCCCCACCCTCTCACTGGGTGGGGCATCAGAGGGGGATTAAAACTAGTAGGGACCCAAGGCTAGAGAGCAATCTGCCCAGCTGAAAATGACCCTGAAAGAACATTTCAAGGCACATCCTGACAACACCTCTCAGTAATTGATGAAGCATGTCTTAGGTACCGTCTGAGCTCTATCAGGTTGTCACATTAGCTCTTCATGGATGAACACAATGCACTGCCTTCTGGCAGGTGTGGAAACAAAACCAGTGTTTTAGAAAGAGTTCCAAAGCCACAGGCTCTAAGCTCCAGTACCCTGTTCTCTGTCTTCTGGCCCTATACCCCTACCAGAAATTTCTGTTAGCAGTAGATTCTTCTGTGAGTAGATGAGGGACTTTGGGAATATCTGTTTCTGCAAGCCAGGGTTCTTCTGACCCCTGGGCCTGTAGACACTCCAAGAACCCTGGCCACATGAGATTTCTGATTTTCCTGTCTCCTCTCCCTAATCCCTACCTGCTTCATTACCTTCCAGCCTCTCCCTTCTTCCTCTCTACCACCTCTGTCCCTTATTTTCCTCAGCAGCAGAATTTAGTAGTTTAAAAATCACAGCTTTTGGAGTCTGACAGGTATGAGTTCAAGTCCTGACTCTACCACTTACGTTCTGACTTGGGCCTTAGTTTTTCCTCTTCTTTAAAACACAAATGACTTACATACCTCATAAGTGGTTGCGAGGATAAGAAAATTCGTATAAAGCACTTAACTCAGTGCCTGACAGTCCATGCTCAATAAATGCTAGACATCCTCCAAGTCTCTGTGTATCCAAGTCAAGTCACCTTGTGGGCCTGAATCACCTCAAAAAGGGTTCCTCAAGGGAGACAGTAAGCGTGCTGAGATCTCAGGATGAGAGATGAGGAAATTCAAAGGGTAACTGTGGCTTATGTAGAGTTTATACAGGGCACCGTGAGCCCTGCCACTTGCTTGGTTCAGTGCCCCCTCATGAGGCTCCCCTTTAATGTCCTTCTCTGCCGCTTCTGAGGTTTCTACCACAGCCTAGTCCCCCAGCCCCGGATCAAACCTGTGACTCTGTCCTCCGGGGGTGGGGTAGGGATGGGAATGGGGTGGGCAATCAGAGTTTTACTCCCAGCCCATGGGCTTCTAGAGAAAGGTCTGACCTCTCCAAGGGACAGAGTATTAGAACTCAGGCTTTCTACCCCCACCAAGGGAGGGCCTTCCTCTGTCCCCATCCAAGTACTTGGTATGAGCAGGCTCCTAAGTCTCCAGCAGAGGACTGCTGGAGAGTGACATGGGAGTAGGGAAGGGATGAGCAAACGGAAGTTGCTGCCCTGTGAGTCAGAATCTCCTGGATTTCTCATGGTTCCCAGCAACTGCTCCCTAATTAGAGGACTCCTGAGCTGCTTCACCCTTCCTTGGCTCCCGGAATCCGGTCTCAGAGGGGCTGTTTCCAGGCATCTCCTCTGGATGCCTTCTCATCCAGCCCCTCAGGTGAGGATGCTGTATACATCCTCTCTGGTAGATAGTTCTTTGTGCCTAACCTGAGTCTCTCTTGCTGTGATTTGAGCTTCAAGTCAACATTTGGAATTCCCAGGTTGTTACTCCTCATATGAAAGAAGAGTCAGGATCATCTGTAAAGCCCAAGGAGCAGACAATTTTGTGCCAGAACACCCTGGAAGGAGCTCTCTGGCCTCAGTCTCACACCAAGATGGTGGCTTCCCACATTTCAGGAGGTCAGACTGTGGAGGCCCCAGTTCACCCTGGAAATGTTCCCACAAAAGGGTTTAGCCACATCTCAACTTCACCTTCTCTCAGTAATGGCCACCCTTCCCCCCACACCATTTCAAATGGTTCTCTTCATCAGAAGGCTCTGGAATTTCCCTTGGGCACAGGCCTGGATGAAGAGCATGTGCCTCCTACTCTGTGAAGGAAGGACAGGCGCCCAGGACCGCCAGTGGCGGGAGAGGAAGTGCTGAAGCAGGGTGGCAAGTGCCTCTTACCTTGGAGCAGGAGGAAGCCAAGGATCGCCCCGCACAGCCGCGCCGCTCTGACGGTGCCCATGTCAGCTGGGTCTGTGGCGGGCAGGCAGCTGCTCCACGGTGGCTCTGTCCATAGTGGAGAAGAGAGAGGGAGTGCTGGGGCGGGGTGTGGGGTGGGGGCTCACTCTCCAGGAGCTTCCTGTCAAAGAATAGAAGGAAACAGATTGGGCCTGGCTCTAGGGGCCCTGCTCAGCCAGCAGCCCAGATGAGGATGTAAAGCTGGAGCAGTGTGACTGTGCCTGGGGCTCTGCCCTGCCTGGGCTAGCGCCACAGTGGGGTCCTCCAGAGCCTTTCCACAAAGACCAGTGATGGCAACGGGGTCCATGCCCCCCTCTCTGCCCCTCTGAGGGGTCCATCAGCTTCCTCCACACACTGTTTGGAGGCTTTTGGAAATTTACCTGGAGTCGAACTCCAATCTCTCCCCATACTGTTTCAGACCAGGTCCTCGTCTCCCAAGACGAACTCTAAAGCTCAGCCCACCAGCCATCCATGCTCTGTAGACTCTGAATGCTTCACATTCCTCTCCACTCCCAGGGTCCCAATGCAGATGGGACTTCCAGCATTTTTCAGGGAGGCCTTGTTTTTGTTTGCTTGTTTTTAAGTAATCTCTACAAACACATGGGTCCGGGCTCGAATTTACAAGCTTGAGATCAAGAGTCGCAAGCTCCAATGACTGAGCCCACCAGGCACCCCTATTGTTATTCTTAACAATTCTTAATGTTAGCAGGGCCATATTCCCTCCCAAGGCTCTAGAGGACAATCTGTTCCTTGTCCTTTCCAGCTTCCAGTGTCTGTTGGACATTCCTTGGCTTGTGGCCACATCACTTCAATCTTTGCCTCTATCTGCACATCACCTTCTCCTCTGTGTGTCTCTTACAAGGACACTTGTCACTGAATCTAGTGACCATCTGGATAATCCAGGATGACCTCCTTGTCCCTAAATCCTTAGCTTAGTTACATCTGAGAAGACTGGTTTTCCACATAAGGTTAATATTCACAGGTTCTGGGGACTAAGATATGGACATACTTTGTGGGGGCCACCGTTCAGCCACTATGGCTAGTTTTCCCCACTTTAAAGTTCCTCTTTTCACCTTTATAATTAAGTACTTATTTGCAAATAAGTACTTTGAATTCTGTAAATATTACACATTACAATAATTTATTATTTTGATGCACAAATTGTCCCCATTTTGGTCACTGGGAGTCCCTTTGAGCTGGCTTTTGTGTCCTGTTGACATGGCTCCATCATTCTTTGAGGATTTTCTTACTTTCTGGAGTAACAAGATGTTCCATGTTCATCCCATGCCAACTTTGAGATTGGCTGTTTCTCCAAAGGAGCCCCAGTTCCTTTTAGTGGCAAATGGCATTGAGAAATGGAGATCCAGGCAGTGGAGGTGCTCATTGCTACTATGACGTAGCTTCTCTAAGGCCCCTTTTTCTCTTTTTAAATTTTATTTTATGAAAAAAAATTTATTTTATGTTTTTATTTTTAAAAGATTTTATTTTATTTTTAAAATATTTTATTTATTTATTTGACAGAGAGAGAGAGAGAGAGCACAAACAGAGGACTGGTGGGCAGAGAGAGGAGAAGCAGACCCCTCGAGGAGCAGGGAGCCAGATGTGGCACTTGATCCCAGGACCCTGGAATCATGACCTGAGCAGAAGGCAGATGCTAAACCGACTGAGCCACCCAGGTGCCCCTCTGTCCTTCTCTCTCTTTTTTAAAGATTTTATTTATTTATTCCTGAGAGACAGAGAGAGAGAGAGAGAGAGTCAGAGACACAGGCAGAGGGACAAACAGGCTCCATGCAGGGAGCCCGACGAGGGACTGGAACCCAGGACCCCAGGATCACGCCCTGGGCTGAAGGCAGTGCTAAACCGCTGAGCCACCCGGGCTGCCCAATAAAATTTATTTTTTTAAAGATTTTTTTTGAAATTTATTTATTCATGAGAGACACACAGAGAGAGAGGCAGAGACACAGGCAGAGGGAGAAACAGGATTCCTTCAGGGAGCCCAATGTGGTACTCGATCCCAGGACCCCGGGATCACGACCTGAGCCGAAGGCAAATGCTCAACTGCTGAACCACCCAGGTGTCCCTATTTATTTTAGAAAGAGAATGCATATGGTGGGGTGAAGTGGGGGAGGAGAGAGACAAGCTGACTCCACACTGGGAGCTTCATCCTAGGATTCTGAGTTCATGAACTGAGCCAAAACCAAAAGTCAGACGCTCAACCCATTGTGCCACCTAGGCGCTCCTCATGGTGATCATTTTTAACGGCAATGTTTTTACTGTTCTGTGGTCTATTTAACCACTACCCACCCACCTTGGGAATTGGAAAAGAGAAATGACCCCAGTGCTCATAACTGAGTCAGGGCCCTCCATCCCGGAAGGCTAAATGTGGGGAGGACCCCAGAGTCTTTTCATCTGTGGTTCCCACGCCTAAACATTGAAAGCCAGGGCTTCTTCTCTGAAATAAGAGTAGATTTTTTTAAAGATTTTATTTATTTATTCGTGAGAGACAGAGAGAGAGAGAGAGAGAGAGAGAGAGAGAGGCAGAGACACAGGCAGAGGCAGAGGCAGGCGCCATGCAGGGAGCACAACGTGGGACTCCATCCTGGGACTTCAGGATCAGGCCCTGAGCTGAAGGTGGCGCTAAACCACTGAGCCACCAGGCTGCCCAAGAGCAGATTTTGTATCATTTTAGAACCTGAACCCCTCCAAGAGGCTCCATTACAACAAAAAGCCAAAAAGAGACTGAGAGGATAAGTCACTGAACATTTGTCATGGCTCGAAGTGCCATCCCCACAGGTGAAGGTTATGGCTTACAAACCTAAGGACCGGGTTGGGGTGGAGAGATTCTTTCAGTTTCCAGTTTGATTCAGCAACCTTTGTCTAGCACCTGCTGTGTGGTACCAAGCCCCATGATGGACTCCGGAACACAGACAGGAGTACTTTGATGGGGTTCTGAGGCTAGGAAGAAAAATGAGCACTCACCCACCTGTATATAAGACAAAGTGTGGCAAATGTCAGGAACGAGGTAAAAAACATCCTGGTATAGCGTTTCAGCAAAAGAGAGCAAGCTACCTCAGTCTAGTGGGCTGAAGAATATATTCCTGGCAGAGGTGACACTTGAACTAAGCCATAAAAGATGGTTAAGGTTTAGATGGTGGGAATAGGGGAAGGGCAGCTCAGAAGAGTGAGCATAGAGATGGAAAAGTAAAGGAAGGCTGGAATAATAGTCTAGTCCCCAAAGTTCCACCCACTTATCCTTTCTGAGGCCTTGTAGGAGATAGATCCAAGATTTATGAGGGAAGGAAAGGGGAGATTTCCATCAGCAGGAGCAGGAATTGGGCTTTTGGACTCAGGGACTGGAGCTTCAGTGGTGGTGCTTATGAGAGCAATGGGACATGTGTCTTTAGGGGCAGGAACCAAACAGCAGTGACTAAAGCTTTTCACTGTGGCAGAACCCATATTACCTCTGGCTGAAGTCTAAGTGAACCATTGTGGGACGTCCAGAGCCTTGGGTATCATTGACAGGTAGGGGATCAGCCTCCTAGCTGGATTCAAGGCCAGCCAGCCTACAAGGCCAGGTCAGCAGCCCAGTAACCTGGGCCTAAGTGAGCTTGGAGATCTGAGTGAAGTCCCTGAACGTCAGAGTGTGGAGCAGCTTGGCTGATGGACAAGGAATCAAAGGGCTACATGTTGCCTCCTGAGATCAAGCTACTGGATGAGTGAAGTTCCCAGAGGTCTCCGGGTCTCTAGACTAGAATGGAGGGTGGTACACGCAGAGCAAGGGACAAAATGAGGGATGGCTGGTTGCATGGAGTTAGTTGAGACCAAAAATTATAAATTTATAAAATTTATAAAACCCTGGAGGGTATTATGCTGAGTGAAGTAAGTCAATCGGAGAAGGACAAACAGTGTATGTTCTCATTCATTTGGGGAATATGAATAATAGTGAAAGGGAATATAAGGGAAGGGAGAAGAAATGTGTGGGAAATATCAGAAAGGGAGACAGAACGTAAAGACTCCTAACTCTGGGAAACGAACTAGGGGTGGTGGAAGGGGAGGAGGGTGGGGGGTGGGGGTGAATGGGTGACAGGCACTGAGGGGACACTTGACGGGATGAGCACTGGGTGTTATTCTGTACGTTGGTAAATTGAACACCAATAAAAATTAATTTATTAAAAAAAATTTATAAAACCAAAAATTATCCTTTATGAACTCCCCAGTTAGAGGAGAAACTGCTGGGTGCTTTTTTTTTTAAAAGGTTGTATTTATTTATTCATGAGACAGAGAGAGAGAGAGAGAGAGAGAGAGAGAGAGAGAGGCAGAGATATAGGCAGAGGGAGAAGCAGGCTCCCTATGGGAGCCTGACGCAGGACTTGATCCTAGGATCCCAGGATCAGGACCTAGCCAAAGGCAAACGCTCAGCCACTGAGCCACCCAGGTGCCCCTGGTGAGAGCTTTTTAAAAAGATTTTATTTTTAAGTAATCTCTACACCCAACATGGGGCTCAAACTTACAACCCTGAGATCAAGAGCCACATGCTGTATTGATAGAACCAGCTAGGTGCTCCTGGTGGGCACTTTTTGTGACTTTAACACATTGAAGCACACACATTCTCAAATGAAGCTACCTTCAGACAAATGCAAAGAGACATATAAAATTAATATTTAGGGATCCCTGGGTGGCGCAGCGGTTTGGCGCCTGCCTTTGGCCCAGGGCGCAATCCTGGAGACCCAGGATCGAATCCCATGTCGGGCTCCCGGTGCATGGAGCCTGCTTCTCCCTCTGCCTGTGTCTCTGCCTCTCTCTCTCTCTCTCTCTGTTACTATCATAAATAAATAAAAATTAAAAAAAATAAAAAAAATAAAATTAATATTTATAATAACCAAAGAGGAAAAAATCCAAAGAGAAAAAAATATACCTTGCATGGGAATGATAAATGTCATATTCAACAAAATGGTTAGAAGGAGAGGAGAGGTCAAAAAATGGGGCTCCTATTTTATTTGTAATATTTCATTTCTTAAAATTTTTGAAATAGGGCACCTGGGTGGCTCAGCCAGTTAAGCATCTGCCTTCAACTCAGGTCATGATCCCAGAGTCCTGGGATGGAGCAGGGAGCCTGCTTCTCCCTCTCCCTCTGCCTGCCACTCTCCCTGCTTGCATGCGCTCTGTCAAGTAAATAAATAAAATCTTTAAAAAAAAAAATTTTTTTTAAATAAGTGTGACAAACTATTAAGATGGACAGAGCTGGTGGCTGGGCCAAACAGATTTAGTATATTATAGTCTACACTTCCAATGTGTTTGAGAAACTACACTAATAAAGAAACAGTAACTTCAGGAAATCAGTTGGGGTGAGGAGTCATCATGTCATGGTAGAGAGTAGGGCGGGGTGAGATGGCTCACAAGGTGTGTAGGATCTGCTGGAGGAGGAGTAGGCAGGCAGACTCAGGCTTCTGAAGCTAGCAGGAAGCATAACAGGAGGTGCCATATCAAGGTCCAAACACATTTAAGGGAGAGCTAGGCCCAGGGGAGTCCCAGTACTCACGGAAGTGAAAGTGCGGGGAGAGACATTGAGTGTGTGTGCAGAGGGTGTGTGCCTGGTAGAGCCCCATAGACGTGGCAGCTCCCGGTAGGGCCCATGCTGGGGCAGCAGGCTCTTCTTCACTGGCTGGCCACCTGTCCCCGGGGAGCCTTGCACCAGGCGGAGGATGCACCAGGTAGACTCTTGGCTCACCCCCCTCCTGATAGGCTGTCTGACTCTGCAGGGACCCCAAGCCTTTCACCAGCCTGAGCTTCCTTTTTTCCCCTGCTCATCTGGAGCTGCTTCCCCACCCCTGCCCCAGGAGCTCTGTGACCTGGGCCCCAGAGAGCCTTAGACTTTTAACTGGGGGTGGCTTTCTACATTCAAAAGGACAGTGGGGTTGGGATGGGGTAGATAGTGTGACTGAGAAAACTAAAGGGAGAGTTTTCTGGATAGCCTTCCTTGGACCCTAGTTGTTTTCTTTTGGGGAGGGCCAGGCTGATGGCTCCAGGTTAGGGGAGAGGTTCCACCCCTGGTGGTCCAGCTGGGGAAGGGAAGGCTAGAGAGAAAAGCTTTCTTGAGCCTGTGGTGACCTCCTCAGCCAGCTCTGGCATTTACACTTTGGAGGTTTGCTACCTTCATTGGCAATCCATCCCACCCCTACTCAACAGTTAGCAGAGTGGAGACAGACAGATGTTACCCCCAGCTTCTGGCTGGGACCCCGAAAGAGGCAGAGACTGGCATGGGTTCTCCTCAATCCAGCCAGGAATCAGCACTGGGCACCCCCTTTCCTCCAGGTCCAGATCCTGGGACCCCGAAAAAGATCATCTTTTGGGATGAGGTATCCCTTTGTTTCACCGCAAGCTTTGCGAGTTCCTGCCCCATTTTTCTTTCTCCCTCCCCCAGGGTACCACCCCTCCACCTTCTGTGGAGTTGAGGGTGGTTGGAACCTCAGATGCTCCACACAATGATTCCCTTTCCCCAGGACTTGAAAAGACAGCGGCTCACTGCCCACTGGCCAAGACGCGGGACAGCAGCCCCTAGTGTGCTCAGATTCCTGACCTAGGATATATTCTCTATTTAGGAATTTTACTGGAGGTCTGGGAAGACAGAGCAGTGGGAGGGGACAGGCTTGGATGGGGGAGTCTATATGCCAGACTGGAAGGAAGCCTTTCTCCGTTGCTTTCTGAATGACTTTGTTTCCTTTGTTTCTTTTTTCTCTGTCTCTCTGTACCTATTTCACTCCTGGCTCTTTCTTTTCTTTTTTAATTTTATTTATTTATTCATAAGAGACACAGAGAGAGAGGCAGAGACACCGGCAGAGGGAGAAGGAGGCTCCCTGCAGGGAGCCCAATGCGTGACTTGATCCCAGGACACCAGGATCATGCCCTGAGCTGAAGGCAGATAGATGTTCAACCGCTGAGCCACTCAGGCGTCCCTCCTGGCTCTTTCTTTATCTCTCTCTTTTTCTTTCTATTCTTGGCTTTGTTTTTGTTTTTCTTTAAAATTTTATTTATTTATTTATTTATTTATTTATTTATTTATTTATTTGAAAGAGAGATAGCAAGAGAGAGCAGGAGCAGGGGGGAGGTGGAAGGGGAGTCAGGCTCCCCGCTGAGCCGACCTTCTCCATCTCAGAACAGGACCACAACCTGAGCTGAAGGCAGACACTTAACCAATTCAGCCACCCAGGTGCCCCTTGGCTTTGTGTTTTTCTCCATCTCTCTGTATCCCCCACCGGCCCCCAACCATGTCTGTCTTTTTCTTTTATTCTTTCTTCCTACATGCAGGTATTGGGGGGAGGGGTAATGGGTTTTTTGCTATGTTTGTGTTAATCTGTATGTTTCTCTGTCTCTCCATCTCTTCGCTCTGTCTCTCTCTCTTTTTTGTCTATGTTTCTCTCTCTCTCAGTTCCCTTTGGGCATCTGTCTCCATCTTGCTCTTTTTCTATGTGTACATAACAGACCATGTACATTCTATGTCACCCTCTCTCTCTCTGCCACTCTCTTACCAGGCTGGCCACCATCCCTGGTCTTCTCCAGCTGTGAACAGCTCAGCAGGGCAGGAGCCCCAGAAGCAACTCCCAGAGGTGCTTGGTGGGGCCTGGGGACCACCTCTAGGGGACGGGCTGCCCCTGCTCACCATCATTGTTGCTGCCTTTGTCCTGCTGGCAGTCTGTATTGTGGTGGCTGTCCACTTTGGGCCAAGACTACATCAGGGCCATGCCACTCTCCCCACAGAGCCACCAGCCCCAAAGCCGGAGGACGGCATCTACCTCATCCACTGGCGAATACTGGGTCCCCAGGACAATCATGAAGATGCCCAGCAGGAACCTCCTGCCTCTGGCTCCTGCCTTGTGCCAGATGGACCTAGGCTCAGCGTGGATGAAGTCACTTATCTGTAGGAGGGAGACTTTGAAAAGTTGGACTGACCTGTCCAAGAACAAGAAAACAGACAGAGAATTAGGGCAAAAGCAAATTAGGATCTGGACATCAGAGCTTTGGAAGCTCATACATGGACTCAGCTGGAGCTGCTCTCTCTGCAGAGTATTTATAGAGAAAGCCCTGATGTGGACAGGAGAAATAAAAGAAGTGTGAAGGCTTTGCCTGGAAACATGCTACTGTGAGCATTCCCAGTGCCCAAAGCTGCCCTAACAAAGCTACTCCCTCCTTTTTAGGGACCATCAGATCCCTGACCCTCCTTTACCAAGTCCTTACCTCCTCCTCTTCTCACCCCTAATCTCCTTTGCTTTTGTTGTCAACATGAGTCCAGCTTGCAAGATCCCACCACCCACCCCACCCCTGTGCGTGGATGTCAGTATCCTTGTAGACGTCCTACCCCAAAAGCCCCCAGGTCCTGTGAGGGAGAGCCAAAGCAAAGAACCCAGGGGGTCTGCCTTCTCCACTACTCAGGGAGAGAAGGAAAATCTGTTGCCTTTCACCGATTGAAAGACATCCCTTTGACTATTGGGGTCTATGCCTCATCAGCAACTTCCAAGGCCCAAGCACCAATCATAATCATAATCATAACTAAATTGCTTTTGAATGCCTCCTTCTATGTTGAGGAAAGACTTTGTCTTGCCTTCCCCAGATGAAATGGGGGGAATTTGGAGGCTTTCATTACCCGGAGGTAATTACACCCCCCCCCATTTCAGTGTGTATGTGCTGGTTGGAACTATCCTAAAAATTATCCCATGACATTTCCCAAATCCAGAGCCTCCTAACTGGTGGGAAAACATGAAAGGAAAAGAAGCTCCAAGAAGCTTGTCTAAGGGAAGGAAAGAGTAAGGAGAAGGTTTACCGGGGCGGGGGGGTGGGGGTGGGCATGGAGGTTGGTAAGATGCAGGAAGGCAGAGCTGAGCCTCCCGGTGGCTCTCTGGAAAGGCACCCTTTCCCTGACACCTGATGTGTAGTCAAAAATGTGCAGACTGGCATTTCTGGAGGGGTCTCTGGGTTCTTCACCCTGGGGAGCACCTGAGAACAATAGATGCACCCTGGTACTGCCCTTGGTGACACCCTGGCACAGTCAGGAAGGCAAGGATAACAGACCATGAAGAGGAACACAGGTGGAGATTATAATGTATACGCAGGACTGGCCTGCCTGCTCTGGGACTGGTGAGAGGCAACTGTAATGTTAATGGCTACTCCTTCTTGTGGTCCAGCTCTATGCAGGGTACCCCACTCATCTGTGAACCTGTGAATATTATACTGCTTGCTCCTCATCATAGTCTTTGGGGGAGGAGTCACTGTTATTACCATGTTACACTGGAGGATATTGGGATACACAGGTGGACACAAGTACTGAGTGGTGAAGTTAGGAGAATGAACCTGAGCTGTCAGGCTCCACAGCCTAAGCACCAAGTTAGGGCTAGATGGGTGGGGGATGATCATTTTGGAAAGGCTTTTGATTCTGCCCTGGTTTCTAGGTACAGGAATGATTGATGTAATGTGAAAGGAGCCTCAGGCCTTTGGGGCAGAATGGCTGGGACAGCTGTGAAGATGAGGAGACTGTGTCCCCCTTTCCTCCTTAGGCTCTGTCATCCTTGGAGGCAGTTGGTTCTTTCCAGCAAATGTGTGTCTGTCTGTTGAGCCTTTCTCCACAGTAATGCTGTATCCAGAAATTCATATTGAGCATTTGTGATCAAAGCTGAAGTGAGGGGCACCTGGCTGGCTCAGTCAGTACAGCATAACTCTTGATCTTGGGGTTGTGAGTTCAAGCCATATGTTGAGTGTAGAGATTACTTTAAGAAATTAAAACAAAACAAAAACCAAAAACAAACAAACAAAAAAATCAGAGATGGGGGGCAGGGAACAAGGTCTGGGTAGAACAGGTGGAACTGGTAGAAATGGGCTGCCTGCCCTCCCAGATACAGGCCATCCTGTCATGACAGTATTGTTGTGATGGCTCAGGCCTAATGGTGATGGCATAAGATATAGCAGGAGCCTGGCTGTGTTGTCCAAGGTCTCCCAGAGTATATCCTGTCTCCTCACAAGAGCCCTCTTCTCCCCCCACCCCTCCTCTCTTTGCAGGCTCTGTCATCCCCGGACATCCATCCAATGGCCCCTGCTCCTTGGAATGGCCCCTTGCCCTAGATGCAGCCGTGTACCCCCTCATGGGGTTGGCATGCCTGCTCAAGCCACTCCATATTCCCCAGGGCTCTCACTAGAGACAAAGGCCCTGGAAGGGCAGGCATGCTACCCTCTAATGCCTTCAGCCTGACTCCTGGGCTCTGTCCATGATGAAACGATATCCACCACCATACTGCCCTGTCCTAGAATAAGGAGGGGTCTAAGGAATTATGTCTGTGCAAGGGGATTTGGACATTTCAGATAATAAATGCCAATTCTTCATGTCTGTCGGAGTTCAGCCAGAGAAAGATGGCACACTCAGATAGGCAATCTGAGAATTGTTGATAAAGGGTGCTGTTTAGGGGCAGCTGAGTGGCTCAGTTGGTTGAGCGTCAAACTCTTGGTTTCAACTAAGGTCATGGTCTCAGGATCCTGAGATCAAGCTTCACATCAGGCTCTGCGCTGGGTGTGGAGCCTGCTTGAGATTCTCTCTCTCTCTCCCCCTCTGTCCCTCCCCCACCTACCCTCACCCATGCACACACAGGTGAGCACTCTCTTAAAAAAAAAAAAAATTTTAAAGGGAGTTGTTTAGAAAGGGCAGGTATAAGAAAACCACAAGGAAAATGGGTGCTCCAGAGGAGACATTAGCAGGAAACCAGGACCATTGCCAAGTCTGAGCAGCATGGGAAAGGGACAGGTAATGGAATCTGGGGAGAGACAGGGTTACCAAGAGCATGGCGGAACTGTGACCTCAGGACAGATTTGCAGAGAGCCCACAATGACCTTGATACTGCAGGGAGGGATCTGGGGGGATACCTACCCCAACCTCACCCTCCTCCCTCCCTCTGTTCTCCCACTGGGGCTTCCTGTGGACTGAATATGACCAGAATTCAGAGAGCAAGGGAGCCTGTTGATGCCACCCAAGGGCTGAGGAGGCAGAGAGGAGAGTCAGTCTGGTGGGTCTAATGGAAGACACTTGACACACCCCTTATCAGGTAAGTCTACATGATATTTAGAGTTTACAGAAAGTTCCATACAGTCATAGTCCTCACAGCAACCCTGTGAGGTAGGTAGGGCAGTGATTATAATCCCATTTCACAGATGAGGACACTGAAGTTCAGAGAGGTCAAACAACTTGCCCAAGGCCATAGGATTTACCTTGAGATGTTAAGTTCAGGGGCCTTCTCTGAGAGGCCCCCCTGGGAGAATGCCCTTCAATCCACACTCTTGGGGATACAGTCTTGGGGAGCAGTGGGGGTTCAGGCCAGCTAACCTTGGGCCTCAGAAGACATCTGTGCGGAGTGGGAGAGGCTGTTCCAAGCCACTGATGAAGAGATTGGGCTCTTGGGACAGTGTAGAGGAGCTGTGTACGATCGAGGTGTCCATGCTGCCCATAGTAACCTCCCTTTCCTCCTGCCGCAGGTGCCGGAGAATCTCCTGTGACAGGGAGAAGCTGCTGCCCTCTGCAGGTTCTGGAACAAGCATGGGGAAGGTGGGGGAGGAGTGCAATGAGGACCTCTTATGTTCTTTAACTTCAACATTCCCTGAAACTTGCTGAGCAGATCCTCCAACCTCCCTGCATCCCTCCCCACTCCTAGCCCCTGGGTCTAGTTTCCTGGAATTCTAGAGCTAGAATTGCTTTCAGAGATGACAGAATTCCACTTTCTCAGGCTCAGAGATGATGCTCAGAGGGGGCGGAGACCTGCCAGGGTCACAACGTGAGGCAGTAGCAGAGCTGAGGCTGCAGCTAACCCCCCCCCACCATCTCTTTGTTCTTCCACTTCTTCTGGCATCCCTAGATGAAGTGAGGGGATCCTAGAGCACATCTCTTCAAACTTCACCCAGGACCCATAGCCAGATACCTCAGAAAGCAAGTGAGTGTCCTAGGTGGAGAGGCAGGACCTCTCCCCAGGGAGGAAGGAGCAGGGTTTGAATGCCTTGACCACTTGGGAAGGCCCAGGGCATAATGCTGCCATAGCTCCTTCTAACCCCTCAGGACACCTGACTCTTCCCGCCCTGTGGCCTATCAATCCCTCACCCTGGTAGACAATGAGGCGGCAGTTGTTCTGCAACTCAGGGGCATCTGCCAGGATGTCTTCAAGTGTCCGGCAGAAGAGTTTGGCCTGCTCAAGCCGATCCTCCCGGCTAAAGCCAGCTCGGCCATCCTGTGACATGGCAAAAAGGGTCTGCAAGGGGGTGGCATACTCCAGGACACAGATACCTGCCTGGAGGAGATGAGAAGACAAGATTCAACCAGGACCCAGATAGACAGACTCTGGACCCTGGTGCCACTGTTGGGGCCCCGCTCCTCCAGCCTGTAGAGATGCAGTTCTGGGAGGTGGCTACCCTGATGAGATCTATGCTATCTATGCCTTTGCTCCTAAAATCAGGACCAGGACTGTACTAAATTTATCCTTCACAGATTCCTCCTTCCCAGATCCCAGAGCAAGGTCCCCCTACACCCCCTAAGTCACCTGCTATCAACAACTCTAACTGGAAATCAAATCTGGAGGCTGCGCTCTGGGCTTCAACCCTGGTCTGGGTTTCCCCCAACCTATGTGAGATCTTAAGACATTCTCACAGCTTTGTCTAGGACAGCTTTATGGTCAAGTGCATGGTATGTCAGGATTATTGTCCAAATTCTTACCGGTTCTCTGAGTCTTAGTTTCCTCATTTGTAAAGCAGGGATCATAACAGTGCTTACCCCACAGGTGGTAGTGAGGGTTAAATGAGGCGGTCAGATGAACAGCGTCTGGTATGCAGTAAGTGCTCAAGTAGTGTTGCTTATTGTTATCATCATTCAGAGCTGAAGCTTGCTCTGGGACCAATTGGGGAAATTAAGGGTCAGAGAAGGGTAGTGAATTTTTATCAGGGCTTGGCCAGGGGTCAGAATTCTGGTGCTCTGGGCTTGACTCCTCTTTAGCAGCTCTCGCCTCCCTGACCACTCACCGGTTGCCCTTTTTCCAGAAGTTCATAGACGCTGTTGGTGTAAACCCGGCGCTTGATGCCAGCACGGTCAGCACTTTGCTGGGGCAGCTCATATAGGAAGCGAATGTTGGGGTCGACCACACTCAGGTCATCAGGCACCCCACAGTCCAATGGGAAGAGGATGTGCAGCCGATGGCTCCCTATGCCCTGTAGCATGTTGTTGTGCAATGCCTGTATCCGGGCTGGGAGCCCTGGCATGGAGAGGCCCGAGAAGTCATTCCTATTAACCCTATTTCCCACCCAACCCAGGACAGTAATCCAGGTCATTGGTTCCCTCAGTGTGTAGGTGCAAGAGAACGAAGGGTCCAGTCCACTTGCATTGTGCAGGAGCCAGGAGGGGCAGAGCTTTCAGGAACTCTCCAGCCCCTCCCTCTACTCCTTTTCCCTCTGTCTCCCTTCATCTGTCCTTTGTCTAGATGTCTCTGCTCACCCCACTCCTTCCCACAACAGATTTTAGAGATCTGGGAGGCAGGAAGAGCCCTAGGAGGTGACCTTCCCAGCATTCCCAGGTACACGGAGTCTGGCCTCTAGCTCCAGACCTATTTCCTAGCAGAAGCCATGGTGACAAGGGCAGACAGCAATGAGATATGGGAGAACCATGGCCTCAGCTAGCAAGTCAGAAGAAATGAGACATGACACATGTGCTCACAGGAGAGGGGTTAAGGGTCCAGGCTCTGGGAAGATGTGGGTTCAAGTCCTATCTCCTCTTCTCACTATGCTGTGTGACTTTGGAGAAGTCACTCTACCTCATAGAACCACAATTTTCTTACCTCTAAAACAGGGAGGCTGATTATCCCTTGCCCACAAGGTATGAATTAAAAGCAAAAATGCACACAAAGGGTGCAGAGCATGAAGTAAATATTCATTGGAAGAATTCACGGTTAACCTGGGAGAAGTCACTTAATGGCTCAAAGCACCATACTCCTCCCTATAAACCATGTCCTTCATGCCCGCAGAATTGCTTTGGGAATCAAATTTTTAGGAATAAAAATTATTTTTTAAAGATGTTATTTATTTATTTATTTATTTATTTATTTGACAGAGAGAAAGAGTGTGCACCAGCAGGAGGAGCAGCAGAGGGAGAGGGAGAAGCGGGCTCCTTGTTGAGCAGGGAACCCAATGTGGGGCTCAGTCCCAGAACCCTGGGATCATGACCTGAGCCAAAGACAGGCACTTAATTGACTGAGCCACCCAAGTGCCCCAGGAATAAAACTTCTTTGAAAAATATAGGTTCTAGAAACACAAGAGATTTTATGTCCTATTGTCTGTCTTAGAGGTCTAGAAATAGGAGTATAGACAAAGGCTCACCTGGCAGGATCAGCCGCAGGTACCCAATAAAGTATGACCATGCCAGCCCATGGGCCACGTTGAAGTTCCTTTTTTCACAGACTGCAGAGACCTCAGCTGGGGCTAGGCCCTGTGGACAGCAGGGTGGGGCTAGGGAGCCTCCATGAAGGAGAACCAGAGCCCTCCTCCTCAAGATTTCCCAATCTGCTGCCAACTTGATCCTTTCTCTGCCATTGCTGGACCCACTGTTGTAGGACATTATAGGCTCTACTCTAAGGACCAACCTCTGAACTAGTCTTACTCTGAATATTGAGCTCAGAGTAGCTCATACTAACTGCAGCCTCCACTTGGCTACATCTTCCACCTCCCTCTGTGTCTTACCTGGAGCTCCAGGAGGATGTTTAGTGCCTGTGAGAGGCCGAGGAGGGCAAGCATCCAAGTGAAGGGCAGGCCAGCTATGTTTGGGAGGGAGCCGTAGAAATAGCAGGACAGCAGGAGCAGAGCCCCACAGCGAATGGGGCAGCCCAGGCAAGCCCGTGTAGCCCTCCAGTAGCTGCCCTGGTACCTGCAGGTGACAGTCAAGCTCCTAACTCCAGCCCAGCTCAGCCAGAGAGATTCAGGGAGGGGCAAGGCTGGGTATCAGTCACAAGAACAAGACAGGTAGGGTGCCCAGTCGCCATGGGTAATGGAGTCACCTGGAGTGGAGATGGCACAGCTCTTCGGTCAGATAACAGACCCCCTTGAACAGCAGTCCCAGCTGCAGGGAGGCCAGGTGGAGCACCAGCCATTGGAGAATGTGTTCTGGTAGCTCCCCTAGCCCCCAAAGGGCTCCCAGGCAGACAGCCAACAGGACCAAAGCTGCCTTCTGGGCCCTGGTCCCCCTGGGCCGTGGGATGGATGGGTGCAGGCTAGCCTGGAGCATCTGTGGGTACCAAGAAGCCCCAGCTGTTACCCTCTTACCCCACTACCGGTTCCAGACAGCTCTTTTTCTTCCTGGTGCCCAGCCGGAGTCAGAGGCTGTGGTTGGAGATGCCTCTAGGGGACAGGCTGGGCATAGAGTGTCCCAGAGCTCCTGTCTGGGACAGATTTGTTGAAAACAAAGCAGGGGGAGAGGAGAAGTGCATGTGTCCACACATATACACCCTACCCAACCCCAGTAAGACCACAGATGTAGTGAAGAAAGAAAGCAGTGACTGTCCCAGACTCAGACCTGAAAGTGTCCTGGGAGGTTCTACCCCCCTAGGGACTATCAAAGACTTGAGTTTCCCCTCTCCCCAGAATCCACCCCAGAACAGACCTTAGTCAGCAAAGGTGCCACCCACAGTCTGGGGGTGTAGGCAGGGCAGCCAGAAGGCTGGCACTCATCTCTGGGTCTCTGGGGTCCTCAGCCTTAGAGCCTGTGCTCCACTACTCCTAATCCTACCTACCTTCTATATCTGAGACTGCAGCTTGTTTCTGGAAGACAACAGGGAGAAGAGGTCTGGTGCAATGCCTCCCAGCGACCGAGGGCAGCTTTCTGGGCACGGCCTGAAAAACAAACATTAAATGACAATCAAAACTTTCCACAACACTCTAGCCCTGGAGTCTCACCAGACCACAGCTTATAGGAGGAGGGTATTTCCTGCTCCCCAGGCAGAGAGGAAGGGCCCCCACAAGCCATGCCTCAATCTTGGTATGGGGAGGGAGGCTTGAGAAAGCCCTTGTTCCAATGCCATTTGCTCCACCTCATAATCCCCTGCAGCCACAATCCTGAAGACTCAAGCCCCCATGATCAAACACAGTCTACCAACACCCAGGCAGGTCTCCACAAGACCAACAAAGACACTCCCAGACACTCCCAGACAAAGGCAGCACACACACTGCACCGTGCTGAGTTTTATTCTGATTTCTAGATGTACATCCTCTTTTTCTGAAGACTGTGATATCAGGAAGGAGGAAGGGAGAATGAGTGGCTATTTCCTGTAACGACAGCCTTGTGGGTAAAAGGCTTTGTAGCAGCAGAGAGTCTATGGGGGAGTGGAGATTTGGCTCCCTGCAGGAAGTGGCCACACCTGTGGTTTCTCAGGGACAACCCTGTAGTTCTAGCCAAAAAAGCAGTCCTGGGGAACTTCATCATCATCGTCATCATAAATTGTTTACCATGCTCCAGATATTATGCTAAGAGCTACACATATTATTTTACTTAATCCACTGAGCATAGGGACGCCTGGGTGGCTTGGTGGTTTAGCGTCTGCCTTTGGCTCAGGGTGTGATCCTGGAGTCTCAGGATCGAGTCCCGCATCGGGCTTCCTGCATGGAGCCTACTTCTCCTTCTGCCTGTGTCTCTGACTCTCTCTGTCTCTCATGAATAAATAAATAAAATCTTAAAAAAAAATCCACTGAGCATAACACTATTTCCCATTTTACAGGTAGGTAATCTGAGGCTTAGTGGAGTGAACTGCTTGTTCTGTGCCATGACTTCATGGGAAAGGGTAGAAGTTACCAGAACCAGGTTTCACACCAACAGTTTCCTCTGGGGTGACCAGGAGTGTCTCTGGCTGTTCTCCTGCAAACTGTTAAGCTGATGATTTGAAGATGGGGCAGGCCTAAAGAGTGGGGTTGGGGTGGCACCCACACAGCAGCAGCCATTCATTCCTGACTGGGTCAAAGGGTCTTCGCCTGGACCCTCCCCCAAATCACACCCAGAAAAAGATGACACACCACATTCATAGATCCACTGGCCTCCCAGAAACAAGGAGGCTTCCTGAAATTTCTTGATTGTGAAAATCACTTCCTCCAAATGGGGGAATTCCCTACATCTTCTCTTCCCTACAAGTGAGTCACAAAGGGGCCCCCTGAGGTGAGCAAGGGCTCAGCTACTTCAAAACCAAAGAAAATCAAGGTTGCCCAAAAGAAGGCCTAGCAGAGTCCCCCCAGAGTGGGCACCTTCACACCTGCCCCAAGAGCCAGCTGTGCCAAGTAGCCAAGGGCTTCCCGGCTACTAAGGACCCACTCCCCGAGGGGGCACTGCTGTTGCCTCTCTACGGCTCTGCACTGGTCATCTCTTCCTCCCGAAAGTGTTCTCATCCCATCTTTTCTCCTGAAGGAAGTTCCTCTTGTATAGGCCAGGGTCGCACTATGTATCAGAAGCCTTAAAAAACACACATACCATGGTGGACCCAGCAATCCATTTCCAGAAATCCTTTGTCAATAAATAATCAGACAAGGGCACAAACATGCCCATTTTTCAGATATTTGTAGCAGTATCATTTACACCAGAGAAAAACTGAAAGTTATCTAAATGCCCAACAATTGAGGACTTGTTAACTAGATGTGATTCATCTTACAGTAGAAGGTTGCATACCAGGGCACCTGGATGGTTCAGTAGTTGAACGTCTGCCTTCAGCTCAGGGCATGATCTCGGGGTTCTGAAGTCGAGTCTCGCATCGGGCTCCCCTCAGGGAGCCTGCTTCTCTCTCTCTGCCTGTATCTCTGCCTCTGTGTGTGTGTCTCTCAGGAATAGAGACACACAGAGAGAGGCAGAGGGAGAAGAAGGCTCCATGCAGGAACCCCGATGTGGTGCTCAATCCTGGGACTCCAGGATCACACCCTGGGCCAAAGGCAAGGGCCAAACCATTGAGCCGCCCAGGGATCCCCAAATAAATAAAATATTTTAAAATGTTTTTAAAAAAAGGTTGTATAGCCACCAAAAATGATGATGTAATTTTGTACCTATTGACTTTTTTAGATTTATTTGTTTATATTGGGGAGGGAGGGGCAGAGGGAGAGGGAGAGAGAGAGAATCTCAAGCAGACTCCCTACTCAGCACAGAGCCCTTTGCAGGGCTTGATCCCACTACCCTGAGATCATGACTCAAGCTGAAACCAAGAGTCAGACACCCAACCAACTGAGCCACACAGGCACCCCTGTATTTGTTGATTCTTAACCACATTTATTATACATTTCTTACTGGAAAAAAGCAGTGTACAAGACAGTATAATAGCATTTTAAGAAATATATTTTGCATGAAAAAGGTCTGGAAGCACAGATGTCAAAACGCCAACAATGATTACTCTATGCAGTAGGAATACAGGTGATTTTTAGCATATTTTCCTGTTTGCTCATTATGTTTTCTTGGGTTTCTTTTCCCAAGATTGAACATGTATTGGTTGTTTCATGCTTGGAGTATGCTCTAAAAAGAAAAAAATCCCAGCATTGCCTCAGGGCCTAGAAGATAGGATTGCTGGTGAATACGTCAGGCCAGGCCCTGCTGTCATGACACCAAGAGCAGGGCTGGGGCAGTGGGCATTATGTAACTGCACCAGCAATTAACTACAGATGTGGTGAAGGCTTCAAAGAATGTACTTCTATTGCTGTTCTGAGAAGATCCTGAAATACCCCAGTCTAGACTTTCCTGAAGAAATGCCACTGAGTTTGGAAGGAGCAAGGAAAGGGTGGTGGAGAGGAATGCAGGTGTGGAACATTCTGATAGAGCAGCACGTGTAAAAGCCCTACGGTGGGAAGGAGTTTGATCTGTAGAGAAACAGAAATGGCTGGTGTATCTGTAACGTGTGAGCATGTTGGGGTTCTGTATCAATTTCTTAGGGCTGCTGTACCAAAGCACTAGAAATGTGGTGGCTTAAAACAACAGAAATTTGTTAAATAGAAATTTGCTCACAGTTCTAAAAGCTGGAAGTCTATAGTCAAGGTATTGGCAGGGGCATGCTTTCTCTGAAGTCTCTAGAGAAGAATCTTTTCTAGCCTCTTCCATCTTCTGGGGCCCCCAGGGGATCCTTGGTTTGCAGCTGCAGCTCTTATATCTCGGCCTCTGTCACGTGGTGTTCTTCAGCTTTGCAACTCTATCTTTACATGGTGGTTCCTCTTACAAGGACAACAGTTGTATTGGATGGGGCCCACCCTGATGACTTCATCTTAACTCGATTAAATCTGCAAAGAGGCTATCTCCAAATAAAGTTCTGGGATCGAGTCCCGCATTGGGTTTCCTGTAGGGAGCCTGCTTGTCTCTCATGAATAAATAAATAAACTCTTAAAAAAAAAAAAAAGGTTCCTGATATTCATGTGTAAAGGTCCCTGAATGGTGGGGGGGCTTGTATTTTTTTTATTTTTATTTTTTTAAAGATTTTATTCATTTATTCATGAGAGACACACATGGGGGGGGGAGAGAGAGAGAGAGAGAGAGAGAGAGAGAGAGAGGCAGAGACACAGGCAGAGGGAGATGAGGCCCCATGCAAGGAGCCCGAAGCGTGACTCCATTCCGGGTCTCCAGGATCAGGCCCCGGGCCAAAGGCGGCGCCAAACTGCTGAGCCACCCAGGCTGCCCAAGTGGGAGTATTTTTTTTATTTTTTTTTATTTTTTTTTTTTATGATAGTCAGAGAGAGAGAGAGGCAGAAACACAGGCAGAGGGAGAAGCAGGCTCCATGCACCGGGAGCCCGACGTGGGACTCGATCCCGGGTCTCCAGGATCACGCCCTGGGCCGAAGGCAGGCACCAAACCGCTGCGCCACCCAGGGATCCCCTAAGTGGGGGTATTTTAATATCAGTTAACCATGGTGTATACCTAGGATCCCACTCTGGCCTCTACCTCTCCTAGCTATGTGACCTTGGCCTAGTTATTTAAATTCTTTGAGCCTCAGTTACAATGGGGATGGTAATATCTTTTATCATATCAGACTGTCATGAGGATAAAAAGATATGTTGCGGGATCCCTGGGCGGCGCAGCGGTTTGGCGCCTGCCTTTGGCCCAGGGCGCGATCCTGGAGACCCGGGATCGAATCCCACGTCGGGCTCCCGGTGCATGGAGCCTGCTTCTCCCTCTATGCCTATGTCTCTGCCTCTCTCTCTCTCTCTGTGACTGTCATAAATAAATAAAAAAAAAAAAATTAAAAAAAAAAAAAGATATGTTGCACTTGTAGACAAGACTTGCTCTAGATGCTCAGTGATTACTCATTCTAACTGCTACCAGCAGCAGCTACAGCAACAGCACTGACAACCACACTCTTGGAGTTGCCAGCTTCAATCACCTTGGCCTCTATAATAGGCTCAAGTCACCTCTCCAGCAGACACAGATTTGATGTCTCATCCAGAGATGGCTCTGAGTCTGACCCCAGCCGCTTCCTTGTTATAATTCCATTGCCCCATCATGGAGCCAACTAGTGTGTCATGGTCCTTCTTGGACAGGACAATATCCAAGTAGATGTGATAGAGAAAGAGGTCCTGGATGATGAAATGATTAAGGGCGGGGGAGCATAGGGAGTGAATAATGGATCCACATCCTTCTGGAAGGAAGTTATCTAGCAGGGTAAAGAGATCTGATTTTTGTTTGTTTGTTAGTTTTTGCTAACAGCTTTATTGAGATATAATTTACATAACATATATTTAAAATGCACAATTCAAGGGCGCCTGGATGGTACAGTAGGTTGAGCATCCCAGTCTTCATTTGGGTTCTGGTAGTGATCTTGGGGTCGTGAGATTGGGCCTGTGTAGGGCCCCTTGCTCAGCACAGAGTGTGTGCTTTCTTTCTTTCTCTCTCTCTCCTTCCACCACTCCTGCTCATGCTCTCTCTCTCTCTCAAATAATAAATCCATCTTTTTAAAAAATTTAAATAAATAAGTAAATATAATACACAATTCATTACTTTTTAGTATATTCACGTAGTTGTGCAACCATCACCACAATCATCTTAGAACATTTTCATCACCTCCCAAAAAAAACCCTGTAGCCATCACTGTTCAACCACCCTCACCCCTACCTCATTCCAGGCAATAACTATTTTACCTCTGTCTCTACAGATATGCCTATTCTGGACATTTCTTGTAAATGACCTCAAACAATATATAACTGTGTCTGTCTTCTTACATTTTCAGGTTTCATCCATGTTGTAGCATATATCCATACA